AACCCTACAAATGTTTGTTGATTATAATAGAATCATCTCCAAGATATGGAGAGTGTCGAGAAGGAACGAGATGAGCTAATGGATCGGCTCAAGATGGCCGAAAGCCAACGTGATGACCTACTCAAGAAGGGAAGAATGGTTGAATCTGAAAGAAATGACTTTTTACGTAGTAATAAAATAATGGAGATGCAACGGGATGAACTTGAACAACGTTATGCTATGGCACATGAAGAACTTATGAATCTTAAATCAACGGTAAGATACTCAGTTTAGTCCTGGATCTCATTCTGTGCGAACCCCTTTAGTCCGGGATCTCATTCTGTGCGAACCCCTTTAGTCCGGGATCTCAGTCTGTACGAACCCCTTTAGTCCGGGATCTCATTCTGTACGAACCCCTTTAGTCCTGGATCTCATTCTGTACGAACCCCTTTAGTCCGGGATCTCATTCTGTGCGAACCCCTTTAGTCCGGGATCTCATTCTGTACGAACCCCTTTAGTCCTGGATCTCATTCTGTACGAACCCCTTTAGTCCGGGATCTCATTCTGTGCGAACCCCTTTAGTCCGGGATCTCATTCTGTACGAACCCCTTTAGTCCTGGATCTCATTCTGTACGAGCCCCTTTAGTCCTGGATCTCAGTCTGTACGAACCCCTTTAGTCCGGGATCTCAGTCTTTACGAACCCCTTTAGTCCTGGATCTCATTCTGTACGAGCACCTTTAGTCCTAGGCTCAGTCTCCAGCCGTCGGGATTTCGTGCGCCCGCGATACTCTCTCCCCTGACGGCTGGGCGCATGGGGTTCGCTATTGTCAGTCTCGACCAATCAGCGAGTGGCCCCCGATATTTTCAGGTGCATATCATTAATAAATTAGCAGGCAGCCGTCGTCGCAGTGTAATATAACAAAATGGCGGACAATTCGTCGTTTGAGATTCTCGTTTGAACGCTCTGAAGTCGTTTAGCTTGGACGAATTTAGAGAAATACAGCAAAAGGCTCTTAAAGAGATTGTTCTTTGAAAAGATGTCCTTGTTATTCTTCCTACTGGCTCGGGTAAATCTCTTATTTTTCAAACAGCACCACTAGTGTATTTTGCTCGTCTTTCTGGCAGATARWATATCCATTTGGATTATTAAACCCTACACATGTTTTACTTGTGGTAATTTCCATTCCTTTTTCTTTTTTAAAGCGCTTACTATTACATTATATCGCCACTTCGCGAAGTTTTCATTAAAACCTTTTAATACGGCTGTTGTCAGATATTTCCATAGTTAATAACTATGATATTTCCCTCCGTTCACTGAAAAATTCACTTCCGTTATTCATAATATGCTAATTACACAAAAACGTCACGGACATGCGCGACACGTTTCGAACCCCATGCGCCCAGCCGTCAGGGGAGAGAGTATCGCGGGCGCACGAAATCCAGACGGCTGGAGACTGAGCCTACTTTAGTCCTGGATCTCAGTCTGTACGAACCCCTTTAGTCCGGGATCTCATTCTGTACGAACCCCTTTAGTCCTGGATTTAGTGCTGATTTTAACTATATATAAAGGCTGGTGACTTGGAGCATTCCATCAAAGAAGCTGAGAACAGCTCTATAGACGCAAAGCACGAGCGAAACTACCTCCAAACACAGTACAAAAAACTTGAAAGCGAGAAAATCGACCTGGAGCAAAAATTAAATGCTGTGTCGAAGGAGAGAAATGCTTTGGAGACACGTCTGGCAGAACTAGAAGACCGTAACAGGTAGGTCAGCAGTCCTTCAATCAAGCCTTTGTTTATGTAACATGTCATTTGGTAGAAGAGGTTGCACATCATTTAGTGTCTTGTTCAATGTACTAGTGTCGGAGGATTTTTAAAGCTTAATATAAAAATATATAACTTTCTACGATGAACTAGTCGAGAGACAAAACAATATTGATGATATAACACAGAATTAGTGTTTGTTGCTGACTCAAATGATGCTGCAAATGCCGTATTTATACTCAGTTTTAGAAAAGCACGACTGAAAGAGTGAGAATTTACTACATCAGTTGAAACTCGACAACTCTATTGAAATATTTTTTTCAAGATTTGATGTTTCCCAAAAATGGTGCGCGTGAAGTCTTTTTTGTGTGTGCATGTTTTAAAAGGGTTTTATTGATTTTCTGTATGTAAGTTAGCATAGACCAGCATTTCCTCGGTATGCTGATGCACAGAAACTGAAAATCTAAAAACGTTTTAACCCATCTTGTGTCGACAAAGCATTGAACCGAGGCGTCATGTTACGCTGGACATTGTTCATGGTCAATGAAGTTGATGGTTTTTTATCTCGTATTTTGCCGCCTTATCCACTAATGTATCGTAATCTTACGTCATGCATKTCATTTTACCGGTAAWGACTCGGGCTGTTTTTGCTTATTTGAATAGCAATTTTGAGACCTAAAACAGCAAATGATTTTATTCCGTGTTCTATGCCGATTATACATGCATCAATACTTTCAGAGAACAATGCGTCCGCCATCTTGGATAGTGAGACCCGAATTACTATGTTGTGCCTTAGAACACATTTTGTAGTTGCTAMGTCAACTAATCTRTCATTATATCGTATCATATTAACTTAACATTAKCTAAGAACCTTTTAATTCCTTTAGGAGTTATAATTTAGTGATGCGAGTCCCACTTTTCAAGATGACGCACACATTATTCTCCGAAAGTACTGATGCGTGTATGTCATTCAGTTTCATATCGGTCGATATAATCATGAAATACTCTTTTGTGTTGAAATGTGATGTATAATGATTTTGTAAGTGTGAAGTCAATTTATTTATTTATTTATTTTATTTATTTATTTTATTTATTTATTTATTTCATTTATTTATTTATTTATTTATTTTTATCGTTATCTGTATAATTAACAGAATATTACATGGGCACCATGAGATTAGATTCGTATCTCCATGCTACCATGTAATACTCTCTATTCAATATATCGTTCAGTGTCCACTCAGCACGGGCAGATATCACAACCGTCTCGGCGTACATAAATATATACAAATCATGACAACATCTTCACTTGTGACATCTGTTATTACTACATCCAACATTGTCTTATTGTGATACAAGCCTCCTCTCTAACCCTCCTCTCCAGGCCTACACCTTCTTGCTCCACTCAACCTTCTGACTCTACTGCGCAAGACAAGGCTTCAGATGCTCGTCCCAAACGAACGGGGTCCTTCCTTGGAAGGCTAAAGCGCAACAAGAAACCTAAATGAATCCAGACAGGAATCAGATTATATAAAATTATATAAATAATAATAAAAAGGACTACTAAATGATTTATGACAGATTGGTGAATCTATCAAATATCTTTACTTTTTGTAAATATCTAAATATAAATATAACACATGAACTGTAAATACTTTAATATTTAAAAACATATAATTAACTATATATGCATACTGCATATGAATTAAAGAAAACATTCAAATATAGCAGAAGTATTCTTGTTCTGTTATATATAATATGATAAAATGTTTCCTAACTGTAATGCACAATTGACATGTTCTAACCACCCAGTGGAAGTGTACCATGAATGGAATTGACATCTTTGATGATAACTGGTCAGCGATCTTAACCTTATTTCTAATCAAAGTACTGTTTGCATTTATTTTTATCCAATTTGCTGTGCCATTTTTTGGGCTGTCCGTGCTGGTTTTATTTTTATTATATTGTGGCGGCATTCACATTTCTGTTTTATACATTGGTAGCCTAATATACCTTTCATTCAATGGCTTGCTTTATTTGTCATTCAGGGAATACCTCAAGCTGGAAGATGGTTTTCATACACTTCGACTWAAGGTAAAACATCGATCTCCACAGAAATGGCCCAGTGTAATCGTTGGTCAATTTTGCAACGTCCGTTTAATACGTCGATTTTAATTTTGATGATCTCARTTATATATTTGAAAACATATATTAAGTAATGATCCGCCTAAGAAGTAGGCAAAAGAACAATAGGCCGCGGCCGTTAAGCAGTCCGTGCTAATCCAATTACAGAACCGAATGTGGTGTATTTGCTCAAAAGTGCCAAATTTGAATTTCATTAAAACTTTTGTAGGATTTGCAGGGAATGAAACAAGAAAAAGCAAGGACATATCACTAATGCTGTTATTGAATTTTTTGTTCTGAGAGTTYGTAAAAAGTTTTATGCGCCATCGAGAAGAAATTTACTTCCAACTCCAGTAGCAATGTTGCAGATTGTCGAAAGTCGCATTACACAAAAGAAATGTCAAAATCTGAGAAACTACAGACACCAATTGATCATCGTAAAATCTAATAAAATCAGCCAAAACAATGTTTAGAAAGTAATTATACCCAATGTATTCTCTCGGAGCGTGAAGTCGGACTAGCTATTTTTGAATATATATCATGGCGTAGAATATTATATTTTTTACTTCTAATACATAGTGAAAGCAAGAATGCGTGACCGTTTATTCACACGATATGATATTCTTTTCGACTGCTCTCTGCAACTACTTCAAAACGATAGAAATCTAAATTTTGACCTAAAAGGTCATGTAATTCTTTCTCGTCAGACTAGATGTCTACGTTTTTAATTCAAATTGTTGACCTCTTAGGCCAAGAAAATAAATACTTTTAAAAAGATGCCTATAAAATAATCAAAGTCGCCTTTTTGTTATTGATCAACAAAGTTTCAACCGGTTTTCGCGTCTACGTCATTATCACCTTGCGAATTACCGCTAGTTTTTATTGTGGGCTCTCCGGTTAATTCAATACGGCGGGTAAAGGTCTCTCCACTCGAGAATTCCAAGATTTGGTTAGCATTTGCTTGAAGAAATTAGATGTAAACATACAAAA